GAACTTGCTTAAAAGTATGCGACAATCTTCGGTTAGCTTCATCAGGTTTTAGATCTAGATGGACCTGGGAGGGTCAGGTGCAAACTTGACCTCTTTCCTCCTCGACAAGACTGTTTGTTTTGAATTTCGCGCAAAGCTACACCAACTCTTGGGCTACTCTTTTACCAACGAATAGTGGGATTGACCGACACATTATAACGCCCCACGGCTGAAAGGACGAGCATGTTTGGTGGGACGGGGATTCGAACCCGCGACCCACAGAATGCGAGTCGAGTGCCCTAATCACCTGGCCAATCAAGATGCAGGAAGCTGGCTTGTTGGATAACAGACCAATCCGTCGAGGAGTGTGATTTGACATCATTCAAGTTCATCCCAAATCTGTCCAATCAAACTGATGACAGTTATCTTTGTACAGACATTTGTTTCTGAATTTAAACATTTGAAGTTATCCGTCACAAAAGGCTCCCAGGTGACTGAATGGTAAGTCTGAAGTCTAAAATATCAGGTTTCGATACTCGCGGTGGACAGAGCACAGATAGCTCATTGTGTATATTTTGAGCTTAATAACTACATTTCATTTCTTTGAAACACAAGAATACTCTTCAGTTCCAAAGTAATTAATTGTGAGAAAGGTACATAATAAACCTGGGGCCAAGAGTGACAGCAATAGCTGAAGATGGCATCTGGAAGTTTGATAAAACGTATCAGAAAGTTAGAGAATTTTTGATATTTTATCAGTGGCAAAGTTTGAAAATAATAAGATCCAAAAGTGATGGTTGAACACGACAGTAAAATAAATAAATGTGACAAAATTGGAAAGTAACTCGAAGAATATGCACTCGAATGTCGCTAAAACTTCCCAGAAACTTTGTTGAAAAAGCACAACAGGCTAATAAAAATCTCAACTGTTCAAGAAAATATTTTTTTAGTTTGCACAATAGTGAAAGATTTATATGGTACATTTAGAATGGCATATTTCATATAGAAACATTTGGATGGTACAGAGTGTTCCAAAAGCTTTCACGCGTTATCCGTTATGGACAATGTTCACTGATCTTGCGTGATAACCTGCATACTAACACCCATTTCATTCAAATCGCCAATCTCATACTTTTCAAAGACAGGGGAAGAAGAGGAATAAAATAATGATAGTTTGCGAGAAAAGCGGCTTAAGTATACAGCATAATATGCTTTTGAAACACTCTGTGCCGTCTATAAAGTTTCCTAAATACAAATTAAGATTTTCAATGTACCTCTGATGAAATTGTGATTAACTAGAACAAATAGTTGTTAATATGCAGACATTTTAAATATGAGGTTTCCTTTGTGAACATCTTGTAGAAGTTCAACTGTAAGAAAAGCTATAGAGTATGAACTCTCCAAGGATACTCGAAATGATTGATTCATTAGGATGACTGTTGTTGACTGATTCATTAGGATGACTGTTGTTGACTGATTCATTAGGATGACTGTTGTTGACTGAGTCATTAGGATGACTGTTGTTGACTGAGTCATTAGGACGACTGTTGTTGACTGATTCATTAGGATGACTGTTGTAGAATGATTCATTAGGATGATTGATGTAGAATGAGTGATTAGGGTGACTGTTGTTGACCGAGTCATTGGAACGACTGATGTTGACTGAGTCATTAGGATGATTGATGTAGAATGAGTTATTAGGATGACTGTTGTTAATTGAGTCATTAGGATGATTGATGTAGAATGAGTCATTAGGGCGATTGATGTAGAATGAGTCATTAGTATGACTGTTGTTGACTGAGTCATTAGGACGATTGATGTGAAATGAGTCATTAGGATGACTGTTGTTGACCCACCTCATTAATCCAGTTCTAATGGAAAGTTCTTACTTATGTTCAACTACAAAAAAAAGTAAATTACAATACCCATTTGAAGTGAAACCCATCTGTCATAGCTCTAACATATAATGATATATCACACCTGCGACCGTAAATAAGGAGAATATCATTAGAAACGCCATGAAAATAAGTTGTAATCTCCATAAAAACTCCTTCAAAACAGAATTAAGAAGAGAAATAATGGTTGTTTCTGTAATGATTACTGAAGAGACAGATTAGGGTAAAAGTTCAACTGAAATTATTACAGCTACCTCATTTTGTTTCAAAACTTTGTGAATCTACAGAAGAAATATTATGTCATTACTTGGCAGTATTAGGTCTACAAACACTATTGTTAAAGCTGACATCAGTGTCTTTCCAGATAAAGTTAGAAAGTGGAATAGTACAGATTACAGATAGTGATGATATTTCATCCAAGAAAAAGTTAAAAGTGTATATTTCTTTCAGAAGTTCTATTGTATTATGTTATACATGTTTTGTATCCACAAATCTGAGGTGCATCTCGGGCTACAATATGTGAATGAGTATGACTCTCTGTTAAGATTGCTCTAAAACAACTTTGTGATGTTTGGTAAAGAAATCTTCTATAGTACGAATCAATATGTTGACTTTCTAGAAAGGATGTGAAAGACAGTCCTGATTCTAAAGCGATGGAATGTTATAGAACAAGGAGCCCTAAAAGGCTTTTCAAAATCATTTGTCGAGTGATTTGACCTCAGTAAACCTGAAATGAAACAACGTTTTCACGAGGTGCAAATTGTGATAGACAATTTTGTCAAAATATAAGTGGATGCAAACTTGTAAGTTGTGTTTTATAATCCTGCAGTAAGAAATGTGTAAAAAAAAAAAATTGTATATTGCAAGCGAATTGAATTGATGTTTCAAACGAAGAACATTTGACTTACCACTTTGTGCATAAAGTGTAAATGATAAAGCAAAATCCAGTAACTCTTTGGAAAAAAACACCTCCCAAGGTTACTTAAGAAGTAAAATCTTTATTTGTTGGTAGATGGAAAGCAAACTGCAAATGTTGTTTATGAAGAAGCTTTGTTATAATCTTAAAATTTTGAAATAAAGTTTATGTTCAAGTTATTACTTTGAAATATATGATTGTTGTTAAACTTGCATTGTTTTAATTAAGTTTAAACATTCCCCATCAATTGACTGGTATTTCAGCTTGTACTCTCTATACAAGTAGCCTAAACAGTAACAATGCTACACTAAATCTGTAACGTATTTGATTTTTTGCTAAGGATTTCTATCTTTCTTGTCACATTATTTTAAATTAGGGTAGGCAGTATCATTCAAAGTGTTTCAAAATTAAACATCCCAATAAATAAACACAGTATATACATCAAGTTAGAATCAACAGCATAAGTATTCGTCAAGAAAAAAAAGTGGTCTACTTGGAAAAGTAATAACCCATAAACTTAACATTTCATGTGTGAGCATAGTCAAACATATCGACTCTGCAAAATTTCATAAAAATTGGGAGAACAAACAAGAAACTTGACAAATTAAAGACTGAGTTTTTTAGAAATTCTAGGAGATTTTGTGTGTGTGTGTGTTTTTGTTGAGATGTAGTCAAAAGAAGTTTAATCATCAATATGTGAGGAAAACAGTGAAATGTGGTGGTGGGCCCATAACGATGGGGAGTTGGGTTGTTGTTTTTTTCTGTTTCAGGAATGATAAATGTTGACAAGACTGATTGCATTATGAAGAAAAATAGTGTCACAATATCCTGGTTTGTTTAGCAATACCCAGTGGATGACACTTAATTACCCCTGGCTTTGAGTTTCAGGAGGATAATGAACCAAGCAATATTGGCCTGCTGAATGAGAGATACTTGGAAAAGAAGGAAATCGTTAGTAATAAAAACATCAAAAAATGAATAGACCATAGTGTCAAAAAACTCGTAGCATCCCATACTGACTGATATCAGCATGTAGTTAGGACTAGAAGAAAACCTATTGTAGATTGACTAATGAATTTGTTCTGTTCTAAAATTCACTTTTTTGTGTCGATTACCGTAATACTGAGGATAACTTTAACAAATAATCCGAAACAACACTTTTATTTCCACTAAAACTTGTGTGTTGATATCTGGACTCAGATATTTTGTTCTCACTGTATAAACTTAATTAATCATTATTGAAAATTAACATATAACAATAATTCAATTCAATTCCATAAGAATAAGAGCAATCAGAGAGATTGCATGCCCTCACCCCATCGCTCCTTTTCGAGGTTGCATGTGTTTCTATTGGATAACATAAAATTTCACCTTCGAAAACTCAGAAAATCCTTCTCAGATCCAGAATGATCAACAATCCAGATCATTTTTTTGTAGTGTGATGAAGAGTCTCAATCTTAATGTGCCCAGGAAATTTGGTACAAATCCGATCACATTTTAAAGAGTTATTAACTGAAAACCACAAAAATGCTCTATCTCCCCATTATGAAAAATGCTTCAAAGTGATCTAGAATCTGGATCAAATTTAGATAGGACTGCGTACATCAATCTATTAGTTTTTGAGATACACGCAGAAACATAGACACACATGAACCCAATTGCAATACCCTTGAAGGGTGAAGGTAATGCAAAACAATATGTGATATATATATATATATATGAAATATAACATTTAATAATTCAGTTTGAACTTATTACATTTTTATTAATTTTTTACATAAAATGTAAAGCTCTAAAAATATATATATCAAAATTTTTATAACTAGCATAACACAAAAAAGAAAAAACTTTATTTCCACTAAAACAGAAACACCTTTTTCTGCTGAATATCTGTCCCCTTAGAGTATTTGATGAAGAGTTAACTAGAAAACACCTTATATTTTTGGCACAGCATTTTTATCGAGTTTAAATGAAAATAAATGAAAGTTTGGAAGGAGATAAGAAAAATTAACTCTCAGTTCACGGAAATTGATCCAAAGACCCAGACCAAGTTTATAATCTGAGTCCCATGTACAAATAGTATTGTATTCAATACTGTATAATAAATAAAAGCAGTTCAAATAATAATACCACAAGAAATAATGAAAAATAAAAAGTTCTGTTCTTGTAAAACGTTCATATTTAAAAAGAAAGGAGTCTGTACAAACACATTTACAGTGATTTCTTTGTATTTGCTTTTCCAAAAGGACAAACTTTTACATTTAAACAAGATGAACACTTTGGTCCAACAGGAAGACAAACAGTTTGACCAAATCCAACTAAGAGCAAGTTGATTTCTTCCCAGTATTCCCTGCAAATAAATGATATCATTATTAAACAGACAAAAAGAAATGTTTGGCAAGACTTAAAAAATGGTAGAAGTTTTCATACAGTTAGTGTATCTAAAATTGTGAAATAAATTAAATATTACTTTTTGACTAATCATTATTATTTCTGTTATACACATTTTCCCATGTTGATACTAAACAATAAGTAAATCAGTTTTTTGAGGCCCAAAAAAAAGATAAATATATAAAACCTACATAATAAACAATCATCTATTATGTACACCATTTTGAATCTTATCTTTAAAACAAATTGCCAGTCAGACATGTTTGACACAAAAGAAGGTACAGATATCAAAACTGTCTGTAAATCAACATTGTACACATTACACAGAATGAGGTATAGAGTTGGACAACTACAAATCTCTTACAGCTTTGAGTAAGATTCAAAATATATTTCATTAATTAAGTTTTTATGTAAGTAATCATATTAACCATCATATTACCGACTTGTTTACATACTGCGTTACGTTGAGCAATTTTTATGTTTATGCTTGTTACAAACTCAGTGTAAAGAGCTGTTCAAAAGAAGTTTGGTTAAAATCATTCATTTTGTATAAAATGTGAAAAAGTCACTAAAGTAATTAACAAGATTAATTGTAATATTGACAGTATCTGTTGTTATACTTTTATGTCACTCATACATTATTAAGAACTCTGTAACTAAGTAATGGAGCCACAGACTTTCATCAAAACAGCAAAAAACTCATTGACTCAGATTCGAATAATAATAAAACTAAATATCTTTAAACTTATAATACTTAACTACAAAAACCTCTTGAAGTACCTTTAAACGAAAAAGGTTTTTAAGTATCACACTGTGAATGAAATCAAAAAACATAATTCAATATATATGTACACCAACATGATGAGAAAGTATGTGTCACTCTGAACCATATTACTCAGTGATAATATTCTGGATGAACCATATTACTCAGTGATAATATTCTGGATGAACCATATTACTCAGTGATGATATTCTGGATGAACCATATTACTCAGTGATGATATTCT